AGCAAATAATTATTATCGATTAGTTAAATTTGGATTATTATAATTTATAATACACGAGTACAATACCTATGCAATGCTATACTGGTGTTTGCAAACGTTCTCTTTCCAACCATTTTACCCGCCCACCCTACACACCCATTATATGTATATATAATATTATCTGTTACCATACCGCACTTGTACTCGCTATATGGGGTACTTACTAAACATAATTTTACATTTGCGTTTACACGTGACCGAAATATAGAATAATTGTGTTACCCCACAATGAAAACGTGCAGAGAATTTTTTTCAGGGAGGATTGTCATTCCACAAAATCGTTCTATACGTATTGCATAGGATTGAAACTACTAACGGCACGCTCCAATACTTCTGGGAATAAATTCTAGATTTGTCAGATTCAACACTACATGGCAACAACGCCCCTCATTATTATTTTTTTTTATGTCTGGTTCGTAAACGCATACAGTTTGTTATTATGATTACGTTGAAATGTTTAATAGTATATTGTAATAATTGTCGCATAAAAATATTATAATATTATAACAAAATACTTCTTGTTACGTCTATTGTAAATGATTTGTTTGTTGTCAAATAAAATATTCTGTTTAAATTTAAACGAATATTGAAGTGATGTAGACTAATCCATATTATGATTCTGCTGCAGTTATAAAAGTTGATGAAATTTTGTACAATTATTGACCACAAAACGATATAAATTATAAACAACATGTTTATTCTGGTTCAAGTTTGTTTTTTATTAAATTTATCGTGTTTAATCATTGCTTCTAAACATAAAAAAAAATGTTTAATTAAGCTTTAACTGAAGATGGTATAACGTATAGCAAAACAACCAACGAGAACGCAAGCTCTACTTTTTCATGTTCTAGAACAGTGGTTCTCAACCGGTGTGCCACAGCACACTACTGTGCCGCGAGATCTACTAGATGTGCCGGGAGAAATGTCATACATATTTAGGCGTGTGGCGATAACTAATGTCTTCGGCGAAGTTGCCAAAGATGTTGTGGTTGTCAAGTGCGTGAGTGTACCGTAAAAACTCGTAATGTATAATAGTGTGCCGTGAACCAAAAAAGGTTGAGTACCACTGTTCTAGAATCTAGACATTGTTATATTTTATTCCTAACGATAAGAAATGTATTATATAGTATCACCAAGTTCGGTCAAACCCAGTCGGAGAAACTTCAAATTAATAATAAAAATGATTTGGACGGTATGACTATTGTACTTATGAGTTACGTAAGACAAATAAAGTTGTATAATAATATAACTGTTTAAGGACTGTACTCAACAATTTCACCCTTAAGATAAATCTATCGCTTATTCGGTTTCAAATATTAGATGGACAAAGCACGTTTACATGAGTCGAAAGAAACCATGCTATTTTACCGAAAAGTCGTAACCCGTTTGTACTAATTATAATACGCATATTATTTTATAAAGGAAAATTATCATTTTTTTTTTTTTCGCATAATCGTGAATCTCTGATGTCAAACAAAATCGAATGCTTGAGAATTGTTAGGTTCACGCCCATGTTGATATTATGTTTTACTCCCGCGCCGCGAATAAGAGATTATCGTAGATGACTTTCCGAACATTATCGATACATATATTAATGTGATACTATCTTAGCTTCGAACTGAATTATGGACACACAATAATCTGTTTTCCTGCCACCCATTACTCTTTGATCTCGAGTCTTTAATATAATACCGTACTATTGATAATCTATAACAAACCTTCAGCGTCGTCGCTGTCTATAAACAGTGTATAACATTTCACTGATAATTAATAATCCATTACACACGATTTTCCACGTCTGTCGTTGCCGGCTAACGACCGTTGTTTTTCGGCCGATTCGCTTAAACGGCAACGCATTTGTCCGCGTTAATTACTTGGAATAGAACTTAAGCCTTTCCGTGGATTGACCTTTACTCCAATCGAGACGACGACCGTATCAAATGTAACATAATAATATTATAATCATTTATGCATTCGTAGGTTCGTCGCCAAAAATATCATTTCGTTGCATGTGTTTTACGCTATGAAACGAAACAGTCGTCTTCTACTAGCACAGGTTCTATGGTAAGAAAACGCACTTGTATCGCAGTCCCCGTTTGAGTATTTTAAATGGATTTTTAATGTTTAAAATACTATTTTACTGTCATATGAATAAATAATTAAATAATTTTATACAATAAACAACTATAATGTTCATTGAAGGCTAAATAGAATTAATATAATGTGTCCTTATAATGTTCGTCTAATTATTAACAAAAATGAAATTATTTAGTGTTTGTAATGTTCTTGTTTTTTGTTCAAACATTATAACTAGAGGCTGTCTTAATAATACTAACAGTGAAAGTTAAGACCGTTGATGCAGCAAGTTTGATATTCTATTGATCTAAAAATTAAAACTATTTTAAACTTAGCGAAAATTGATACTGAATGGTTTTATAAACAATATATAGTAACTGAGAGAATCGAATGTAATTCATACTATATAATTCTCTATTTATAGCAATTATGAGTTTACTTATATCTGGCTACAATGTTAACAATATATTTATGATATATATTTATTTTTTTAATTGTTCTTACTTATTTTTTCTGACCATATTTTACTGTGGAGAAGATGAGTAATCTATTATAGGTACTCTTCGAATAATTTATTATTTATTTAAAAAATTAAAATTCTTTACCAGTAGGCTGGTGTCTTTCTCTTAATCATGTCAATTGGTACCTACTGATATAAAATATAAATAATATGTGCTCTTCCGCGGTTAATATTATTATAGTATAAGTTTTATTCGTTTAATCATTGTGATAAAAAATATAAATAAAGTTTGTCAATATTTTAGGGCGTTGAAAAAAAAATAAGTAATACAAGAAGATTTGTATTTTTTTGGGCTTGTGGGAAAAAAAATCTGTCCTGGGCACCACAAAATTTTTCCGCCCGCTCTTAACGCGCGTTATATGTATATATATATATATATATGCACGGTGGTATATGTGCGCGTAGCATTATATATATATATATATATATAAGCTCGGTACGCACATACCTGTCGTAAAAAAAAAAATGAAAATATATATAGGTTTGGGTGCATTATGTATTATAGGATATCGTACCTACATAAAATATAATGTATTATGCCGATATCGAGCAGATATATGTGTGCAACATATTACAACAAACGTTTAGCGTGTCAAATGTTTTGTCGCTTCGAGATAAATAATTGTATGCTCGCACTTTGCACTGTTACATATATACAGCACGAACAGCCCCTGCATAATGCTTACACTCGCCCACTTAATATTATATTATTAAATATATATATTATATATAGTATCCATTCGCAGTGATACGAATTTTTTTCTCCGTGATTAATGATATAAATTATGTTTCGGGTTAGCTACACTACGACGCACTGCGTGCGCGCTTCGTGTGTGCAGCGCACTTGGTTTTGACGAAATCGATAGCCAACTATAACGACCAGAATGATAATGACGATAACAACGACATAGTGATAACCGTAATTGTTGTGATGGCAATAATAATAACGATAACAATAATAATAGTAATAATAATAATAATAATAATAATAAACGACGCGTTTCGGATTAATATAATATCGTGTCTTCGCGTCCGATTATATGGCTGTGGACACGAGAGCGTATTATAATATTATGTTTAAATGAATCTGAAATCTGCCAGCCGTCAAGGCGCCGCGAAAACGAGTAGATGAATATTATGTACGTAAATTATTGCTCTGATGAATGCATGTCTACGCGGGATGCACGAGTGGCGACATAATAATATTATTATTATATTATGAAAATGTAATTTATGAATTACAACCCGCTTAAAACGAGCTGTGAATCGTCGTAACAGTTTGTTTTTATCAAACCACCGTAACTCTGATTATTTATTGAAATCGGGTTTTACGTAATAGGTATACAATTTGATATTATTATTATTAATCATAAAATGATAATATAATATGTCTTATAATAATATAATCAACAGCCGTCGACCGCGACGTGTACGATTTACACTTCATATTTTACCATTTTGAATTTAGGGTCAGTCATCAAAATATTATTTCTATTAAATTATTGATTAATTTATTTTATAATTTACCGAAAATAATATTTATTTCGACTTTTCCGTTTTTTGACGATGATTTATAACAATCGGGGTTGTGAACGTAATGTAGTCGCATGTTTCTGATTGTTATTTCGGGTAAAAAATAGAAGTTTAATCAATTCTTTTTTGTATCACAACTATTATAAAGCATAATAATATGCTTTTGGTACTTTCGTACATTCCACATTTAGAGCATTATTTCTCTCAGTTTTTTTAGTAAACATTTTTAAATCGGTTTGACAGTGTGAAATGACTAGTGATTGTGATTTTTTTAATGTTGATCCCAAGAATAAATCATCGGATATTTTTTGTATAAAATCTATTTTTTGCATTTTTATTTTTATTATTGATCTATTTGCTTCAACAATAGGGGTTATTAGAGTATAATCTATTTTTATTTTATCACCTAACATGGACGATGAAGTAAATAAATAAAAATATCGATAATATTCTTTAAAGTTTAACATTATATAAACAATAAAACGACGTAAATAAGAAAATTAAGGTTTACAATTTTACTCTATTCCTCATTCGGCTCATTTGCAGGCCTACGAGGACCCTAAGCTTTGACAATGGAGCATTTTTGAAATAAATAATACGTCAACTTTAATATAAACTCAAAACATTATACAACCACGTAAACTTGTTCAACTCACACTGCGCATCAAGAAAATATTTACTCGTATTTTTGTTATTATTTAAAAACACATTATCTATTCAAATAAATAAAAATACATGATCCTATTATTGTAATATATTATTCGTTAAGCTTCTGTATAGGTATTCCTGTGTATTCCAACAATTAAGCGCTTAGTAATAATATTTTCCTCACCTTGAACACCTCCCAGGTGGCGCTGAACGGCAACACGGCCACGCCGACCATTAGGTCGGACACGGCCAGCGAAACGATGAACGTGTTGGTCGGTGACCTGAGTTTGGAACTGTTGAATACGGCGGCCACGACAAGCGTGTTGCCGACGGTCACGATGAGCGCGATGAAGGACAGGCCGGCCAGGGTGCTCAACACCTGCGCGTCTCTCCACACCAGCGAGTCGCGCAGCGTCTGACACTCGGTCCGGTTCATCGGGCCCGGCCACCGGCGGCGGGTGTTTGGCGGTCGTCGGCAAGCGTGGACGAACGGTGCACCGTCCGCGTGCGTTCGGGACGGCCGGCGTGCGCGCGCGGGCAGCGGTGGTGGCCGCGACGCGGTCAGCAGACCAGCGCGATGACGTACCGTTGGTCTTGTCGCAGTCGTGGACGAGCGGCCGTCGCGACGGCCGCCGCCCCCGCCGCCGACGCCTCGGTGTTGTTGTTGTGGTTGTTGTTGTTGTTGTCGCTGTTGTCGTCCGACGCCAGCCGCACACGATGACCACAGAGGAGCCGGTTGAGCGGCCGCACACTACCACGTGTCCGCGGCCACCGACGGAACCGCCGCCGCGGTCGCAGCCGACCACGTTGTCGTTCCCGTCATCGTTGCCGCGTGGTCGCAGTGTCAGCAGCGGTCGTCTTCGTCGTCACCGAGGCGACGACAGTCATCGCCTCCGACTCAACGCCATGTTATCATCAAAGCCGCTCTACGAAGATTACTTGATGGTCGACAGTCGTTGTTGTTATTACGATTGTTAACGTCGTCAACAACAGCAGACGTCCGGCATGGCGACGTCGATGGTGCGTTAGATCGTTTGATTGCGGCCGCACCTGAAACACATAATATTGTAAAAGATCGTTACATAATTGTTCTGCGGACAATAATATCATAAAAATATAATATTGTAATGTATAACAACGGGTGTAATGCCAATGGCCGTCCGACGCGAATCGGTTATAATATGAATCCGTCCGCCAGCCGTGATTGTAGGAGTGATTTTTTGGGGGGGGGGGGGAGGGGCTTGGTGGAAATTAGCCCCACAAAAAGGTATATTTTAATATTGTATAGTGCTGAATCGACCGTTGGTCATCACCTAGTCACTATACGGTAAATGAGGTTTGATGAAACTATAAAATAATATAAAGTTTCACAAACAACTTTATTCATTAATGGTGTGCATTCCGATGGTAGATATTGAAACTTCGAGTAGAATAAGGTACATAATCTACTGGCTGTTTAATATTATTAAAATTAATGAAAACAATTTATTGATTGATATTCTTTGTTTTTTTTTTCATCTTTTAACACTTTTCGTGCACGGGAAGTCATCTGACGTTTTGAACTTTAAACCGTATATTCTTATTGATTAATAAGAAATATGTGTCTGGTAAGTTCTTAAGAAAAGTAATTTTTCAATTTTCTCAGTAATTTTACCGAGCGTGAAAAGTCTGCTGATAAGTTTCACGAGATACGAAAACATTTAAGGAACGCGGTTTTAATCGAACTCCACTCAGATTCGTTTTTAAAATGCAACGATTCATCATTGTTTACGAATTTAATATCAAATCACCAATGTATCACACCCGGCCGATCCGGTTAATTCAGTTTCCGGTTTTGTTGAGTTATCGTAAATTTATATTTTATTATTCTGATTATTTCGCACATTATTTTTTCACAATAATTTATTTTATGAATGTTTTCTTATAAATGTATACGGTGTCCGTGTTTGGCTTTAAAATGTTTAAAATGAGTGCAAAATGAACATATTGAAATAATATCGACATTTAACTATTTTAACCGCTTATTTCTTGTGACTTATGCAACTGAAACCCAGCAGGTCTTAACCCGGTAATTCGGGTCGCGACCCACAGAGGTCGGGAACGGTAGCGGCTCTGAGCAATTTTATCACAACGATTGGATCATCGTTATTTTAACATGATAAATCGCTTACGTCGGTTACGGTCCCTTCAAATTCAAACGTGTAATTAAACATATTATATTCCTCCAAACTCTGTTTTTAAATTGTTTAATTACGTTTACATGTTTTTGTTTTTACCCTCTTAAACGTTATTGCATTATAATAATAAAAATATAAGGTCAACGGCTGCAGCAGAGAACGTGACAAGTATTTGGAATGTTTCTACACTGCGTTATTTTTGCAAACGACGTGGAGCGTAATAATTTGGTTTTTTAAGCGCATGTGCAAGTATAGGACCTACGGGTTACAACTATACCCTACACTTATAGAACGTACTTAAAATTATTATTTGGGAAATATAAACGCTAAAACACATTTAACCTCTACCATGCAGCCGTACCTACACGGCATTTGCAATTCTCGGGCCAAGACGAAAAGTATCGTCGTATTTACAACTTCAACTCAAATAAAACATACTAACTCATTACATTGTATTTTATTTTACATAGCGAAAAAAATCGATTGTTTTGGTATTGTTACATAATATTAAAATATGGTTTCGGAACGGTTTATTATAATATTTAATATACTATACAGAATATTATAATACTATTATATACTCATCGTTGTCGCCACACACGCACACTGACGAAACTTTCTACAGAGGGAATAACATCAATTATAGTGGTAATATATATATATATATAATATTACATATACAGGGTGCACTGTGTATCACAAATCAAGGTGAACCCAAATTTTTCGTCTTCGATAATGAATTTGTTCGATTTGTAATTTTTCTAAATTGTAAGTCAGTATTATACTAAAACACGTAGTTTCTTTTTGATAATAGTTTTATGTATTTATATTGAAATTCGAACTAGTAGTTTCTACTTTTAAAATGTATAAGTAGACATATATTGGATTATAGTAATTAAAAACTGTTTTACAAAAATTTAAGATATATGGACGTATAATATTGGATCTAGTATTTATTGCGCAATGTTTATATTTATTGATTAATATTAATTACTAGAGTGTATGACATATAGTCACGGACCCCATATATTCCAAAACCTACTATCATGAGATAATTATCCTCATTAAAAATGATTAAATAACTCAGAAATCACTCACTCATCGTCCAAATTTCGATTTAGATACACAATTGACATTTTCAAACGAGTGGTCTGCTTATCGCTTCATGGAAATAAAGGATGACTCTTGTTAGGAGGAAAAATAAGTAGGTGCCATCTCACAGGAAACTATTACTTCAGACGGTATGGAAGACCTGAATGAAAATACCTCGATGTTTGAGTGTATTTAAAACTCCATAACGGGAGAGTTTTAATAAATTCTAATCGGTGATGAATCTCCGCCCTGTATAGTATAGTTGTTATTTGCCATTTCGCCGGGGATAATTGCAGGCGAAACGCGTATGGTATACGTAAATAATTTCGAAGGACGTTTTAAACTTTTCAAATTAAATATAACGTTGGAAATTCGAAAGAAATGACGTTAAGAGAGACGTCTTTCGGAATATTATACTTTGCCCGCCACTATATACGCGATGTCCCCACTCGAGTAACAGTCATGAGAATGTTTATATATATATATATATATACACACATGCATACGTCGAGTATATACATATTATGCAACATATATATTTATATTATTTACTGCGCTCGGAAAGTGACATTATATTGTTATATGCAGTGCCGGAACTGCGTCCCATATATATAATACATATATATATATATTCCGATTATTATATGCATATACGACTTTGACAAACGCGTATATTATATTATGAATATATATATATATATATATATGATGTGAGTATATGTATTTTATCGGTATACCCACGCTGCTGTTATATAATATGAGTTCTTATTTTTAGAACATAATAAATCGTTAACCGTAAAATATTATTACAGTGTATACATTACAACAGTGCTAACGATGTCGATAATTCATTAATCTGACATCAACCTGGTAAACTTCTTATCGCCGAATATATTAATTATATGAATGATTACCGATTATGTTTTTACGTTAATTGTATGTCTTATATGTCTGAGGGTTAAAAAAAAAATTGTGACCTTAAATATGCAACAATTATTTCTCCTTGGTGCATTTTCCGTGGGGCTAGAAAATTGAAATTTGAACCGTAGCTTCCTTTTAATTGTGTATAGTGAAATGTATGGACTTAAAATGATAAACCTCAAAATTCGGGACATAAGATCAGTAAATATATTATGTTTTATCGCCCTGCCATGCGTTTTTAAATCGCAATAATATATTGAGATTCCCTGGCGTCACTGTTTTTCCGTATTTCCGTAATTTTGTTTAGTTTTTCTCATTTAAAAAAAATTTGAGAATTTTTTACTCTTGTCCAATTTTCTACCAGAAACCTCCTTTCTTGAAGTTTGCATTTTATTTTCTTCTGTAAAAATCACAGCTGATCCAAAAGAGAAACACATGGTAGAATATTCGTTGTAAAACGAATACATTGATCCACGGTCCGCTCGGACCGACCATCACGATTCAGTGGCAGGTAATTCACACCGCGGTATTCACACAACGGTAACCGATTGGGTTTGGTTTTGCTGCAATCGCCGCCGTGACGAGACTTCAATTTCACCTGCATATTACGATTATTTAATGAAGAATAATGTACACCAATGTCGGATAATACAAAAAGAAATTGGTTCTCCACTCGCGGCGTGTGGGTGAACTATGCTTTAAGCATTGTCCGCGCGATTAGGGTGGTGGATAACAACATCGTTCGAAGCAGTAAACCCGTTGCATGGAAAATCTTATGTGCCGTCGTGTATATATATAGTACATACACATCTACATCACACGCCTGTGGCTTTTACGCATGCGCGCGTGGGCGATATGATTATATATCTACCTTCCATACGCGCCACGCACAAAGGGAGAGCTTTCAAAACCGTAAAACTATTATATTAACGCGCAGGAAAACCGAAATCTGTTATGACGTGCCGAAACAATACATTTAAGTACCACGCTGCCGCCGCCGCTGCCGCCGCCGAGTACTTATTCGGCTATTGTTTTCTCTCGAAAATATTACGGTCGGGGAGCCGCGGTGACAAGGGGGGGGGGGTTAAAACGCGGGGAGGGATTTGTCGACGGCAAGGCCCGTGTGTTTGCCACGCTATGCCCCTCGTACATTGGTACCTATATAATAATACTCATTTATATTTATGTTTATCGTATTTTAATGCCTTAACCCCCAGCACCTGTCTATAACAGTGTGGACGACAGCCTTTGACAGGATAGTCTATGGAATGAGAGGTATAATAGGAAGCTATAATAATTATTGTATCAATACAACAGTTAATAATATCGTAATAAAATATTATAAGCAATTGATTTATCTCAGAACCGACTAATAGACATACACTAACTAGTGTTTATATTTTGAATCTCACAGTTCTTGTTTTATTTCACCACTTAACAATCTATTTCCGGTTGCACTTTCTTGGTTTGCATTTTTTAAATGTAATGATAATATAATGATTATAGGTATGTAATATTATTATTATACTCATATAAATTGAAATCACGTTGACACGGCGTCTTAGATAGGCAGTTTGGTTACACCAATGTCGACGTTCCACCTACCTTATATTTGAATGTAGAAAATAAATTACACAATTAATAATATTTCAGTTACCGCCCTTCCTGATTATCGGTTGTCGTACATCAGGAAAATAAAATGTCTCTTAATGTTAAGGTAATACTATTATTATTGTTATTTTCGTCGTCGTTTTTATTATTATATACGTAGTGGTGGTTATTATTCAGTTGTTTCTCATTTTTACACGAGTATTTACACAGCAAAAGATATTTACACAAAACATTTACCAAGCTACAATG